TACTACTACCACTATTACTGCTACTAATTATTCCGAACCTGTGTCAGGGAGGTCCTCCTCTGTCGTAAGAAACGCTCAACGTGGCTACATAGTCTGTGCATGCTAGTCGCCTGTCTCCGTTCTGCAGATTCTCAACTTTTCTTTCTCCCGGTACCAGACTTGACAGGCCCGAAGCCTAAACCCAAAAAACTCCCAACGCAATGCAGCTTGACTGAGCTGCTGGCTGCGTCGTGCCTTGGCAACCAAGCAGATCCTACTGTTGATGCTGAATATAATTAGAATGCGGTCTTGGGGTATTTTTTCCAAACCCCAAATCCGTAAACCCTACACTCGTCTGATTAATGTCACGGAAATATTACCGAATCTCTAGGCTACTGGCATTATTCCGGAGCCCTATGTTACTCTCAGGTTGTCGGTACCGGATCCTGAAAGCTGGTTTCGGCTTTGGCGGTTTTAGTGCTCCGGGGCTTTGGGGGTGAGGACTCTGGCGTTCCTTCTTTTTTTTTTTTTNNTGGGGGGGGGGGGGTTCGATTTTGGGAGTTAGGGTTCTGGTTCCTGGCGCTTGGCGACGATACCAACTTAGACACTAAATTCGGAGCCTGCAGCTCTGAAATGTAGCTCCTGGGCATGCCCTGAATCAGTCTCGCAAAAACTGGTTCGCTTGGGTAAGCCTCGAAATCATCCCCGAACCTCGAAACATTGCTTTGCCAATGCTTGAAAACACAGAACAGCCCACACTGCGAAATCTACTTACCTGTGGCCCATGTCCGAACCGAAGGACCCTCTGCGATGAAAACGCCAGAGGCTGATGAGGGATATGTAACACCTCACCAGTTGCGCAAACTGTGGCAGGCACTCAGAATCGCCCAATCGCTGATCTGGAGAGCAGCTGGATTTCGAATGATGGCTTTCAAAGTGTCCTATCATAAACCCTAACTAATATGGAACTTATAGGGACCCTACCAAAAATTAGGTGTCGGTAGGTTAAGGTAGGCCCTAAACTGTATACCCTCGTCGAGGCTGTTCAGTGCCAAGCGGGTAGGTTCGTGCGGCCAGGTTTGTGTTGTCTGGCGAGGCAATGGCACCGGCTTGCAGACGAAACTCGCATCTAAGGAGGCCTTCAAGCATTGGTTTCCCAGTCTCAGGGTTTAGGGGTTAGGGTTTAGGGTTTAGGGTATTTAGCCTCAAATTTCCTGCAAGACACACACCAGAAGCAAGAACCACTTAAACATCACAGCAGCCTCCGCTGCTCTCCACCGTGACTCCAAATCCCACAGGCACCCCGAAACTATTCACCACTACACGACACCCCAAAACCGCAAACCCTAAACAGTTAAACCTCAAGCCCGAAGACTACCACTACCGCTGCTACTACGACGACGACTGTTTTTAATGCTACTGCTGCTACTGCTACTACCGCTGCTACTGTTGCTGGACCCGAACGAGCCTGGATCGAAGTCCGGCTGCTCGGACGGGGCAGATCCCTAGGCCAGGAAATGTGGCTTCGAATTCAGAGCCCATTACCTCCAAATTTCGGGAATCACATAAAAAGTTTCCCAAAAAACATGGTGTAGGATTCTCTTAGTTCTGAAGTTGAAGGCTTGAGCCACGGAGTCGTGGGGGGTTCAAGTTGACCGCCCAACTCAAGTCCATGTACCCTCAACCTGACTCCCTAAACGCTGACATGAAGGCTCCCATCCTTTCTAGACCTGAAGCATAAAACGAGAATTGAGCCCCAAGGCTTATGTGCTTTAGGGTTTCTGGAGCCCCCTAACTTCTAGGCCCTAGCCTGATATAGAGACCTTAATACTTAGAATAGGGTTTAGACCCAAATCCAAAGATTTCGCAGCAAAAGTTCTATCACAAGGAACCCTAAACCCTAAACCCTAAACCCCTAAACCCTAAACCCTAAACCCTAAACCCTAAACCCCAAACCCAAAGGCTTCGGCCCTTGTACTGCACTGCCTGAGCTTCCAACCTCCACCTGTGAAATGCTGTCCCGATCTGCCTGGCATCGGATCGGGCGAGACTGCGTCGTTGGCCCCGGAGTATGAAATATTTCCGTCAGATAAGCGACCAGACGAATTCTGGCGAACCAGCTACTTCCACAAGTAAATAGTTGATCTGAAAAGTTAAGCAAATAACGAAGTAGCTCGGAACATAACTGCTTGCCGGGATCTAGTGGCTCAGGATCCAGGCTGTAGATCTTGCTTGTCTGTCTGGTGCTTAGTAGGGAATGGGGGAATGGATCCCTATGATAGTCCCTTAAGGTCCCTTATAGTAGTCCCTATAACCCATTCCCCCATTCCCTACTAAGCACCAGACAGTTGCTCCTGGTTAACTTCGGGACCGGGATTCCTCCACCTGACAACTCTCAGTTGGCATCCCTTAAAACCAGCTCAGAGCAGAACACCCTAAACCCTAAACCCCTAAAGCCCCAAAACCCTAAACCCCTGAAGCCCTAAGCCCTAAACCCCTAAACCCCTAAAGCCCTAAACCCTAAACCCCTAAACCTCTAAAGCCTAAACCCTAAACCCCTAAAGCCCTAAAGCCTAAACCCTAAACCACTAAAGCCCTAAACCCTAAGCCCCGACATCTGCAGTGTCCTCTACAGCCTCTGACGGAATCTCGAAGGGTTCTGCACACTTTCACCCCCAGCCCCTCTCGCCCTCGCCGTTCAAACTAGCATGTCTGAAGTTGTCAGTAGATCTGATGGCTCAAGGCTTTCTGGATGTACCCCTTTGCGTAGGTATTCAGACATGCGCATAGATACATGCATGTATACCTCCTTGTGTATATACGGCATTGTGTGCGTGTATCAACATATACATCAACATCTCATAGACATACCAGGTGGGAGTTTCCGTATTTGGGGGTCCTTATTATAGGGATCCTACTAGTTTGGGTACTATATCAGGGTCCCCTATTTTCGGAAACCCCCAGGTGTTAATGTCTTAAACTCGAAAAGGTTGAGCCGGAGCAAGGGTGCCTGCATGTCGTCCGGCGGGTCTTCGTCGATGCCCTGCCACGACGATCGGTGATTGCTTGTCGCTCTGCATTTGTGTGTGTGTGTGTGCCTGTCTGTGTCTGTGTGTGCCTGTGTATGTGTGCTTAGGTCATTTAGGTTTCCACTGTCCCACCGAAAACTCTGCACACCTTCAGGTGAAACGTGGAGATGCAGAGGAGTGCTTGATTCATCGCAGACGCAACCACCGAAATCTCAGCAGTTCCTAAACCCCTAAACCCTAAACCCTACCACCCCTAAACCCTAAACCCTAAACCCCTAAACCCTACCACCCCTGTACAGGCCTTTTCATACATCCTCTTTCCAAAAGCCTCTGGCGGTGGCGGGATCTTCTCCGTGCCCTGAGAACAGGTGAATCTGATGCAACATGCGCAGGCAAAGTAGGCTTTTGGGGCTTACGGTTTAGAGTTTAGGGGCGCAACTTAGGGTTCATATGTACGGCTCTGACGGTTCAGGACCGAAATTTGCGCAATCGTAAGATTAAGATGCCAAACTGCAACCTCGGCTGGCCTTCCTGCCTTTCGTGCAAGATACTCAGGGCCGTGCTGGAAAGTCCGGGAACTTGCCGGAGTATCTTTCTACCTGGCCGGGATGACGGGCACTCCGCCGAGCTTTCTCAGAGGCTTGGAATCACCGCCGAGAGTCACAAACATTTGGGTGGTTGTCAAAATTATGGTCCCTTTTTGGGTCCTTGTTATAATACGGCACCTATTATTTAGGGTACCCCAACAAGGACCATCATTTTGACAACTACCCATTTAGTAAAACGGACACTTTCTAGTAACTGCAGCTGTAGCCTTAAAGCTGCTGGAGGAACATCGCTCTGGTGAGACTGTTGGTGGCCCTCCTGTTCTAGGATTCCTGCCTGCTGTCTGCGCACAGCTTTTCGATGCTTCTTTCCAATCTCGTGATCGGCCCACCTCGGTTCTTAAGCACCCAGCTGTTTAGGGTCTAGGGTTTAAAGCTTAGGGTTTAGGGTTTAAGGTTTAGGGTTTAGCTCGTTAAGCCGAATGCTGGGATGGCTTTGGTGTGCACAGTATGTACAAGCAACTGCGGCGCTGCAACACATGCAAAGCCTGCACAGCTCAAGCTGCTCGCGTCTAAGGCCTCCAACTAGCCTCAAACCAGAGGCTTAAGCCCAGAATCCAAACCCAAAGCCCTACCACGCACCCGAACTTCCAAGAACCTTTTATGCCAACATCGAAAACCAGGTGCAGCGGCCTTGACTCTGAAGCCCACCAATCCAAGTCCAAGGTGCCCCGACAAATCCCAACAACCTAGGACTTCCAAAGCTGCAGGCCTCAACAAGCACGAGCTCCAAGATCCCCAACCTCCCGCTACAACACGAACGGACTTTCGGCATTCCTCTTTCTCCTCCTTGAATATGCTTATGATGATGAGCTTGATAATCATATTATAATCATCGTCATCATCATGATCGTCCCCATCGTCACCTTCACCTCCGCCACACACGACCATCGGGGCCTCATCGGTCCCATCGAGGCCTCAACTCCTGCATCTTCTTCTGATGTCGTTCGGCCCTATCTTAAGCCTGAATCCTATAACGAACATCCTCTATTGTGCAAGATGTACACTGGAAGTTCGGGTCTTCGGCCTACATCCCCCTCCCAAAACTCAGAGACGACATAGATTGATCTACACCGCAACTTTAAAACCTGAAAAGACGAACCCAACCTAGGCAACTGCTATTTCGAAACGGCCGCAAGCCCCAGCGATGCGAGTCCCCAGCTGTGCTGGGCCGTTCAACCACATTTGGCAATGCTTGCAGTAGATCGCCTCGGCAAACACCACCGAGTGTCTGCATGAACCAACTTGTTTTTGTGTTGATGTACAGTACAGTTGCGCGGCACCTGGACGGACACTGCGGCAACTTAACTGAGCTGCTGGCCCCATCATGCCTCGGCAAACAGCCACACTGGCAAACATGTCTCAAGCTTTCAAAGCTTGGTCGCATCAGCATTCGTCTGGGTCTAGTCCAACTAAAACATGCCACCAGACCCTAGTCCACTTGAAAAGTAGTTGTCCAAGGGTGATGATTGGGTGTTATGTTTGTAATTATCAAATGGATGCCGTGATAGTGCATATGGCAACCAAAACCCCGACATCGCTGACTGTAAACTGGAAACAACAGTTTTCCAACCCTAGCCAAGATCGAAACCAGATAGCAAAACGAAATTTCGAATACATTCGCGCTTGCGAACAACCAGCAGCAAGGTGCCAACAACACAACACAAACACGCTTGGATGGGCGCTGAGCGTTTTACCACAATCGCAACTGTCGGTATGCTCGTTCTTTTTCAGCGCAAAGACAAGCAAGCGACCAACCCGCAAAATCCCGAACGAGCTATGCTGGCTCCACCAAAACTGGATGCAGCCGTGCAGCTCAGTAGGTTTGTTTTTGTCCATGTCGGATTGCTGGGCGTCCTGGCAGGAGCGCGATAACAAGTATCAAAAAAACCTCCAGAAACGCACAACAGCCCTGCGCCTGTCTTCCTTGGCCTCAGAACCAGGGTCAGTCACGCTTTTTTTTCTACGACAGCAGCGGGTCCGAACGTTTGGGAATGGTGGCTCTACGCGGCTTTGTTGCACGTCAAAGGTAGCTCTTCTTCCCTTGCCGCAGGCATTCCAGACTTCATTGTCGAATGCTGCTGACCCACAGTTTTGGCACGGTGCTGCAGCCAGTTGCAAGCATGGTATCCGTCCGGCATCTCGGCATCTCTGCTTGTGGCCCTGTTGGATCACTGCGCCTGAAAGTGCAGCTTGTGACCACCAGCTGCGGGCATGCCGCCCAGGTGTGTCACACAGGGTACGGAGGTCTGCTCCCCATCAACTCACCACTTGGCATCACCGACCGACCGAGAAAGAACAGAAGGCATCTGTGCAATCCGCGCTCCACCAATGGTACCCGTTATGACCCGCAGCAACCATCTGATCATCTCTGGCCAACCAACAAACGAAAATGAACCCCTTTCCAATTGGCCTGCATGCTTTTGGGCAGAAGGCATCTGCAACATCCACTGTCCACCAACGGTCTCAACCCATGCAAGGATCTGGCCATCGGCTTGTTATCATCAACCTACGAACGACAAGGGTTGCATCCTTTTGGCATGCATGTTGTTGGCCGGAAGGCTTCTGCACAACCGTTTGACCACATGCTGCCATCTGATCACCACCTTGCATTGGACACCCTGATTGCTTCTGAAGCTTGCCTTCCGCATAATAACCCGTGGAGGCAGAGAGCACTGCTTCCACAAGTGCGCGGAAGAAATCTGCCCACCACGTGGAATAAGGATAGATTAAGAATAGATTGAACTCCATTTGGCATGCATGCTGTTGGCCAGGAGGCATCTGCACAGTCCACACCCTACCAACCGTCTGGCCCTAAACGAGCATCTGCTGGCCAAGTTTCCCTTGAAAAAAGTCGCAGCAAGAATGAGACCCATGCACTTGGCATGCATGTTGGCATCTGCACCGTCCACACACCACCAACGGTCTGATGCTATCTATATACGCCCCACTTTGATTTGGGGTTGGTTCGGAATAGAACGGAATCCATTTGGCATGCACGCTGTTGGCTTGAATCTGAAGAGATCTGCACAGGCGACACCCGACCAACGGTGTGACCAATTGCGGCCATCTGCTGGCCATGTTACTTTGGGAAAATTATCGAGAGTGTGACACCCATTCCATTTGCTGCTGACCGGAATGCATCCGCACAGTCCACACCTCACCACCGGTGTGACCCATGCGGCCCTCTGCTCACCACTGTGATTTGGCAAAATTGGAAACGGAGCGAAAACCAGCCGATTTGGCATGCATGCTGTTGGCCGGAAAGCACCTG